GGGGGGGGGGGGACAGTGTATGGGCACTGTACGCGATGTAGGCCTAGTGTATGTTGTTGTTAAATAATCATTTGTATTAATAGTATAAGTAAGGAAATAGTAAAAGTTAAACATTTCAAAAGAAAATTCAACCCCCCGATTTGCAGCACCCCCCACAGATGGATGTACCTTTAGCATTTGCGTATACTGCCTCTGCCACGAGCTGGCCCTGCTCTTACTGTCTGTATCTTGGATACCCATTTTATTCTAGACTTAACATGGGAGCTGAGGTTAAACTTTCCAAACATAAACAAAATCACAACCTTGACACACCTTGCCAAATGCATAAACTCAACCAAAATGACCCAAAACTAAAAAAGCCAAAGATGCCCCTCTAGTGAGGCACAAGTGTTGATAAATGGTCTCAGTGCACATGGTATAAATCCAGTGTGTGTGAATAACAAGTGATGCCTTGGAGGTGCACAAGCTGACCTTTGACCCTCCACATATTCACTCAGAGTGCGGATCCAGGCCCCAGTACAACACCCGTATCGTGGGGGGGAACATCTCCAGGCCGGGGCAGTTCCCCTGGCAGGCCAGCCTCCACTTCGTCAGTGAACACCTGTGTGGAGGCTCCATCATCACATCCCGCTGGGTGCTGACTGCGGCACACTGTGTGTACGGGTGAGTCACAAGCTTACGGACAAGCTGAATATGGAATGGTATTGAGTGAAACCATCAGAGGAGGTATTTAGTAAGGCAAGTTCCTCTGGTAATACTCTGTGTATACCAGCTGATTAAAACTGGTGAAATCCCCATATTCTCTGTAGTGGTCACTGAATCTGAAAAAGAGTGTATTGATGGACATATTTGTTAAAACCCTATTTCCATTTTTCTTTCCAACACCTCACTAAACTAAGATTACTGGCTTTCCAGCTGTCAGACCTGACATGAGAGAAACTGAAACAAATGTTGATATGCTCATCTGAGTCAACTTCTGTTATTAATGTGCAATTAGGATTTATCAGGAGTATTGGTAGGGTTGTTATTCTATGCAGCCTTTAGAGGAAGACTGTAGACACCACTCATTGTTGAAAAGCACCACTTCCTTTGCATTTTTTCAGGGACAAAAAAGATGATTCTAACTCAATTGTATGAACAGTTAAACTTCCCCTAATAAAATAAGGACTGGATTCCTTTTTGTAAAATAAGATGGTGTTTGATATAGCTCAATCAGGCTATCATTAGGCCTAAGAAGAAATGTCTACCTTTCGCTATAGACAGGCAGACATTTCTCCTTAGGCACCATTTAAAGAGAGCCTTTCTATAGTGAAGTGTTCTGCATGAGATGATTTACTGAGAGTGACATAAGATACAACTGTAGCTTGTGGGATTGTATTTCTCAGAGTCCCAAACGTATACTGAGTTAATATTGAACAATTATCAGGTTTGCAGACCCCTCCATGTGGGCGGTCCATGTGGGTCTGACGGAGCAGCCGGTGCATGGCGCTCAGTCTCTGTCTGTGGAGCAGATCATATACCACGCTCGCTACAGGCCTAAAGGACTGGACTACGACATTGCACTGATGAAACTGGCCACGCCACTTGACTTTAACGGTATTTTTTTTATTTTTTTTTATAAACTTTATTTTCCTTTTTCTTAAACAACACATACAGTTTCAGTTTCAGTGACAAAAAATTGCAGGTTGTCCATTTTTTGT